TTAAATTTAAAAAAACTTGAAACCCCGTGTTACGGAAGTAAATAATATTTTTTTAATCACTCAATATCTCAAATGTCAAAACGCAATAACTCAAACATGTCAAAACGCAATAACTCAAACCATGTTTTTAAAATAGAAATTTGCTTTTACATTTGTAATGTTTAAGTTTCATCAAACTCTCTATAAAAATTTAGTCCGATTGACAAACTTGCAATCAAACTAAATCCTCTCAACAATTTGTAAAATAAGTTTTTTGGACGTAAGCCAATAAAAAATCTTAAGAAAAACGAGTTCAAAAGTTTAATATTAATTTAGTTTAAGGCCGTTTTCCACAAGACGAAATATTTGCGCGAAGCGAATTTTTTCGTCGATAAGCATGCGCAGATAAAACATTTCTAGCAGTTATTGCCAATTATTGCGAGAAATGTTTTATCTGCGCATGCTTATCGACGAAAAAATTCGCTTTGCGCGAATATTTCGTCTTGTGGAAAACGGCCTTTAGTTCGTTCAAACAACTATTTGCACAAATTGAGTATTAATTATCCGCTTACATTAATATGTAATTTGATTTATATGATAATCGATTGGCATTTAAAACAAATTTAAAAAATGCAGAGAATAAAGAGAGGCATTTGAGAGCAGAGACATTTGAGAGACTTAAATCAATTATAGCAAAATATTTTGCTGCGATATCTAAGATTTAATCCTTTGCACGCTCTTTGTGGTTTTTACGCAACGAAATACTGTTGTAAATTTTGTAGAAAAGCAAACATCAAGATCCATGTTGTTTACACGTTAACAACCTTTTCTTGCTTATGTATATATATATATTTTTTTGTTTTTGTTTTGTTTTGTTTTGTTTTGTTTTTTTGCACAATAGATTTGCGTATAATTTTGGCTGAATTAAACAAGCATTAAAACAGCATTAAATTCGCTTTCATATTCGACAAGATAACTTTTAAACTAAATTTGATTTAGAAAAAATAGTTTTTTTATCGACGCTAAAAATAGATTGAAATCTCAACAATCTTTAAAAAGCTTTATTATCTCTTTGTTAAACAGTAAAATTTAATTCAATTAATTAACATAAAAAATTATAGGGAAAATGAAACTGAACTGTACTTTATAAATTTATAATAATTTTACAAATTCGAAAAATAAATTTTTGTTCTGCTTTTTATTTCATTTTCGGCAACACATTGAAACTCCGAAGAAAAACCATAGAACTATTAATTTATATAAAATACGTATTTACTCATTTTTCTTTTAAAATTTATTTGGTACTTACAGAACCGACTGTAAAATTTCATTTTTATTAGTTTATTATTAAAAAACAAAGTTTTCACAATGTTGACGATGAGATTAATACATACAATAAGATTAATACATATACACAAATACTTACACACGATACTTTTTTTTATTGTAAAATTAAACGTATTTAAGTCGTTTAATTTGATTAAAAAGTTCTCACATTTGCTAAATGGATTGTTATACTAAAAAATATAGACCGCCGACAATCGGCTTGGCTTTGAATATTGATTTGTAGATTACTTGGTTTGACGTTTTTTAAAATTTTTTTTTTTTTTATAAGTATATAGAAAAAATGAATCAGATATTTTCATATTGACGTCACGCCCAGTGGTTCAGAATCATATCATTAATATGAAAAAAAAAAAATTACCTTACCAAAAAGCTAAAATCTCTTATGCGTAGGCCAAATTCAAACTTTTAAAATTTTATGTTTTTTTGTTTTTTAAATTGGAATAAAAAAATTTACTCTTTTTTATAAACTATTTTTAATTTTATAAATAAAAAAGAGTAAATTTTTTTATTCCAATTTAAAAAACAAAAAAACATAAAATTTTAAAAGTTTGAAAATTGATTATAATCAATTTTCAAAAAGTTTTGAAATAGAAAATTAATACAATAGAATATTTATGAAATAGACAAGATAAAGACAAATAAACAAACAAAAAAATATTGAATTAATTTTTAAATTTGTCAAATTAAAATTTGAATCATTCCAAAAAATGTTCAAATAACATAATACTTTTAGTATTTTTTATTACAAATGAGAATAAAATGTGTAATATAAGTTACAGATTTCATACAATCTTCCACGAGACTGCTACTATATAGTAATAAACTTGCAGAAGATTGATGGTTCTTGTCAATAGCGACCCATTTGCTCAAGTCAATACGAAATCCTAAAGCGCTAAAAAATCTCTAATTGAGGTCTATGGAAAATAGATCTGCTGTAATTATGGAAGCATTAGAAGATAACCAGATCTTCATTTATTTTCTTTTAAAATTTTAAAAGAAAAAGAAAATAAAAAATGCTTTTATCTTATTAGCTTAAAAATGAAAAAAACACGTGCTAAAACTCATAAAAGCAAGTGCGAAATTGCGAACTACGAGGTCTAAGGTTCCACGAGGTCTGAGGTTCTTGTGCAACTATCTCAGAGTAAGATTTTTAAAAAAAATGTGTTTTTAAAACATTTCCAAAGTTTCAAATTTGAAATTCGATTACTTAAGATTTAATAAAACTTTTTGTAAAGCATTTCCAAACTTCTTTTTTATTTAGAAGCTAAAAGTTCCATTTTTAGGTTTTTATACTTTTGCGATAAAATGCTAAAACGTCTCAAAAATGTGATTTCTAAATAAAACAAAAGTGTAAGTTACAAACTATTTATTACAGTTTTATATCCTGTCTACATTTTACTCTGTGGTTTTTTTGGTTTATTGTATGGCCTAGATTAAGTTACAGAAATTATATCACGTAAAAGCGTTAAACAGTGTTCTTGACTTAAAAATAACTAGTAAAGGTTTTAAAAATAACTAGTAAAGATGTTCTTATAAAAAAGAATATTTTAGTAATTAACTTTTGTGGTCAGTTTTATTATATTATCAGAGCTATGGTAAATAGTAAATCAAGAGTAAACATTAAATCAAAAAAAAATTGTAAATCAAGAAAAAAAACATGTAATCTCAAACCCAAAACAGTATATTGCTTTCGTAATATCATGCTTTAAACCTGGCAGTGCAAGACACCGTCAAAAATATTATCAGTATGAAAAATTCCCTGAATACTGTTCATGAATGTTAAAAATATTTTACTCCATTTCTAAAAGTTACGAAAACTCAACAAGTTGTATGGTAAAAAAACTAAATCTGAGACAAAGAACAGCAAGATAGTTACATGAACAAAAAAAGTTGCAGCGCAAAAAGACTAATTCTCTTTCTTGTATGAGGTCTGGGGAAGATTACTCTCAGTGTAGATGATTTACTACATAGTTTGCAAAAGTCTTTTTCCTTTTGAAGATTAAAGTGTTATTTAAAGAACATTAATTTCGTTAAAATTTAAAAGTTCATTTCAGTTATTTTATAATTGTCTTGAAATCAAAAAGAAATTGCTTAACTGAAAAAAAATCTACTTTACTTGTCATCGCAAAGTACCTCTTTTTTTGAAGTCAAACCACATACATTAGTAATATCTAATTTATTTTAAAGAAGATATCAAAACTTTAGAAGCAGCAATAGGAAGTATTCAACCTAGATTCAAACAACAGCGACATTCAATGCTTCAAAAAACAGAATAAATAATTACTTACCTGGTTAACCAGGTTTACTTACTTACCTGGTTAATTAACCAGGTTTAAATGCTTCAAGACACCATGTCTAACTGCAAATTATGCATGCATCCATTACTTAACTTATGGAAAGTCTCTCAAAGGTTTTTAATTACGTCAGGTAAAACATAAGAGAATTTATTATAAATTTCAATATTATTTGTTTTACTAATTCACGCTTGAATAACAAAGGCAACTTAATTCATATTTGTAAGTTAACAAGCACAAAATATTTTTATTTTCATACATCGCGTTATCAATTATATATATATATATATATATATATATATATATATATATATATATATATATATATATATATATATATATATATATATATATATATATATATATATATATATATATATATATATATATATATATTTATATATATATTATATATATATATTATATATATATTTATATATATATATATTATATATATATATATATTTATATATATATATATATATTTCACATATATATATATATATATATATATATATATATATATCACACACACACACACAGATATATATATATATATATATATATATATATATATATATATATATATATATATATATATATATATATATATATATATATATATATATATCACACACACACAGATATATATATATATATATATATATATATATATATATATATATATATATATATATATATATATATATATATATATATATATATATATATATACATATATATATATATATATATATATATACTTAAATATATATATTTGTGTATATATATATATATATAACTGTATTTATTATTCCTATGTACCCAATCATATTAATTATTAATATGAGTGTGTACATAGTTATATTTAATTGCAAATCGTAAGAATTAACACAATCGTATTAATTATTACGATTTGCAGTAACATTTTTTATTTTATAAATTTTTGTTGATTCTTTTTAATTATAAGGAGAGAAAAGCATTCTTAACAATTGAAAAAACCTTATTAAATAAAGTAAAAAAAAGCTGATTTCTTTGCGTTCTCTTGACTATATTGCTGACTTTTATCTTTATTTGTGTCGTAACCCTGTATAGAAATATAGAGTCCAAGTTCTATTTTGCCGACTGAATCCAAAAAAAGGTTCAAATTAGCCGACTGAAGATATTAAAAGGTCTCAATTTGGCAAAAAAAATTTGACAATAAAAATTCATTGATTGAAGGTGGGGTTGTCGCACTTGGGTGTCAACGTCATTTTAGTACCAATCTTTGCTCTAACATAGTTTATGAACAATTATAAAAACGATTGAACATTAATCGTTTATTTAAGGATCTATTATTAGTCGATACTGTATCGAAACTGTAAAAATTGCTTTACACGAAGATAAGCGGGCGGTCATTTAATTTTTCTGAGAAAAAAGTCTAGAACTAAAGAAAAAATTCTTGAAAATTTCTACAAAATTCACTGCTTTAGTTTGCTATTTTCTTACGCATTTTAGGATATATATTTTGTTAAATCTAGTGAATTAAGTATTTTATTTTGTATTCATTATTTATGGAATTTGTAGTTATTTATAGTATTTCTAAGGGATCACTTTGGAATGCTGCTTTTCGTATTTAAAATCATTCATGCATGATTTCGGATGAACTATACTCGTTTAGTCTCAAATCAGTTGTTCTATAAATGTTGTATTGTGCCTTAATTTTTATTGTATTTGCTATACAAACTAAAATAATGTTAACAAATTAAACTGAATTAATAAAAAGAAGAAGTTTCAATACAGATTTGTTTCTAAAAAGTAAGTTGACATATTTGTATATGTTTAGTTATATATATATATATATATATATATATATATATATATATATATATATATATATATATATATATATATATATATATATATATATATATATATATATATATATATATATATATATATATATATATATATATATATATATATATATATATATATATATAAATTCTCATTGATATAAAAGGTTGTTCTATTATAATTTGAAAAAATCTATAAACAAACTATTTTGCATAGGTCATTGGATTTAAAAGTCATATTGTTGTTATTTTATTATTATTCTATTATTATTTTAAACTTTGTTCTGTCACAAAAATCATTCACTTATAAAAATGGCAATTACATTAAAAGTGCTTGTATTATAATTAATATTAAATATACTATAGTTTTTACAATGATCTCATACCTTTTCTTTTTATTTATTTAAACCTTGAGATTTAATCCAAAAAAGCTTGAAATTTATGGAGCTTAAATCTTTAAAAAAAGTTTTGAAAAAACATTTGTCTTTTGGTGCCAGTATATATGTACTTCAAATATATAATGCTTTATTATCAATCAAACCAAAATATTTATTATTCGTCTGTACTTGATTAACAGCTAAAACATTAAAAATAAGTTTAATTTTCTGAAGGTTTTTAAATTTTTGCTGAAAAATTTTAAATCAACCGTGAGACTAAGAAAGTTGTAATTTAACCATAAGACTCACAGCAAAACGGAGAGTTAGAAGATCTGTAATTTCTCTATATCAAGCGTCGTATTTTAAATAGTTTTATGATCGTAGGTCCTACATCTAGTATAAGTTTGTAATAAATGCGGTCAGATGATGTCAAAAAAAAATTTCATTGTAAAACAAAACATATAAAATATAAAAGTTTAAAATAGGTTATTATTTTATTAATATTCATATTTTCAAAAGTATGCCTCTAGATGGTTAACTACCTTAGCAGTGGGGTACAATCGACCATTTTTAGGCTTTCTACAACTGTAGAATTAAAAAAAATCACAATTTTAAATACATTAGTCATAAATTTTTTTTTCTTCAAGTCCATTAATTGAAATGCTACCAATCTTTATTGTTCCTGGCATATATATCATGTTCCATATCATTTAGAAGTAGTTGAAAACATAGTAAATGGTTGAATGTCTTTCTACTTTAAAAAAAACTTTTTCTTTGGCATTTTTTTTGGACCCCTAAATCTAATAGCATTTTTTATAATTTTTTAACAGAATTGCTTGTGACAACTAATCTTTTTTCTAAAAGTAGGGTGTGTGTGTCAAACCCTACTCTCTCTATCTCTTTCTCTCTCTCTCCTATATATATATATATATATATATATATACATACATATATATATATATATATATATATATATATATATATATATATATATATATATATATATATATATATATATATATATATATATACATATATATATATATATATATATATATATATATTATTTATCTTCGCTTCCAACAAGGCTGCAAGCAACCACTAATTAGTGTTGGGAGTTACTGGAAGAGAAAAGATGAAGATTGTAAAGCAAGATAACGATTGACAGACGACTTAAAAGAGTGCAAATTATATGAATCAGGAAAGCAAGATGAAGGAAGCGAATTCCAAAGAACTGATGTTCGAGAAAAAAAATTAGACGAATAAGAGTTTTTGGAGCACTTAGGAACATTAACAGAAAAAGGATGAGACTTAATTGAATGACGAGTAACACGAGAAGGAATTTTAGTAGATGGCTCAAGAGACGCTAGCTCTTTAGAGCAGTGCCCATTATAGTATTTGTAGAAAAGAGAAAGAGAAGCAACATAACAACAATGTGACAGAGGTTGAAGGTTGGCTGCAAGAGCAGGTCCAACTATGTTTACAATGCGTTTTTGCACCTTGTCTAAAAGAGAAAGGGCATCATTAGAAGATCCGCCCCAGATATGGCAACAGTATTCCATACAAGGCCGGATTTGAGATTTATAGAGATAGAGAATAGAATCCAGAGTAAGAAAGTGACGAGCTCGATAAAGAGAAGCAACTTTAGCAGATGCTAATTTTGCAACGGATTTGATATAAGGTTTCCAAGAAAGATCAGAAGTAAGAGTTAATCCTAGAAGATGAAGGGTAGGAGACTCATCGAGTACATTACCGTTCATAAATATAGGAAGTTCTAAATTATTGCGATAACGATTGGCTGAAAAAAATTGAGTTTTATCTGAATTAAATATATATATATATATATGTATATATATATATATATATACATATATATATATATACATATATATATATATATATATATATATATATATATATATATATATATATATATATATATATATATATATATATATATATATATATATATATATATATATATATATATATATATATATATATATATATATATATATATATATAAAGACACACACAAACATATGAACCCTAGTGTTTATAAAAAGTAATTGTTAAAATAAAATACTCCCAAGGAGTTTTTTTTTTTTTTTTACTTTTTTAATTTTTACTAATAATTGTTGTAAATGAACATCATAAATTTAACTTTTTTTAATCATATAGAAGTAGTGTAGTAATTATTTCAATGTCAAATTTCCATTTGACATATATATAATTGATATAGGTACTACAAATTTTTATATATCATAGAGAATATAGCTGATAATCTTGTATTTCTATATATGAATATAGTGCGATAATCTTGTATTGTATTGATAGTGCTGATAACTAAGGGTTTCGATAGCAGGGTTGGGGTCAAATACATTTGATCAAATACAAATACATTAATTCTAAATTTCTAAATACAAATTTAAATACAAATATATGCAATCGGCATTTTCCAAATACAAATACAAATATTTGTAGTTTAGGTAATGAAAAAATATAAAGATTTTTTCAAGACAAGACTGATGAAATGGTCTAGAATAATGAAAAGTCTTCTAAAAAATATTCTTTTAATAAAATTTTTAATTTATTTTAGTGTTAAAAATGAAAAAAAACCTCTTGGTATTTCCTAAAACATAATGGTTAATCTAGTTTATAGAACTGTAAATACTTTTCAATCAAATACAAATACAAATGTAAGATTTTTTTTTCAAATACAATGCGAATACAAATTAACTTATTTTTACCAAATACAAATATGTATTTGAACCCAACCCTGTTGGATAGTAACTAAAAATTTTTTAAAATTTTAAATTTATTAGCTTTAAAAACAAAAAAAGCATACAATTAATTCATCAAGTAAACTAAAAAAATAATCAATTATATTTTTATGTTTTTGCAAACTTAGCCGTTTTTGTAGCCAAGAAACAATTTCAAGCAAAATTTTAGAATGGAAATCAAGACTAAAAGTGAATTGTTAGAGTTTTCAGAAAAACATTCCTTTTTTTTTAAATAAAAAAATTACATTTGGACTTATATGTCAATATTGAAAAAAAAAGAACAAAATTAAAAAATGATGTACTGACCAGGGCCGCCGAGAGAGGGGGAGGCGACAGGGACAGTTTGCCCCGGGCGGTAGATATCCAAGGGACGCCAAATAAAAAGAAGATACCTAAAAAAAAATAAGAGGCTTTCGTCTATAATAGAAAGAACTTTTGATAAATAAGGGCTCCAATCAGGGTTGCTGGCCCAGGCAGCGCGACGGCTCTCGGCGGCCCTAATAATGACTAGTTTGTGCTTCTCTAGTAAATCATTGATTAAATAATTAATTTTGAGTTTAAATACTATTAAAATTGCTTTTTTAATACGGAGACGTTATTATAATCATAAAATGTTGATTTTATGTTGAATATTTTCAAGTTTTATCATAAAAAGTCGATTTTTATGTTGAATAGTTATTAACAACTTAACGTAAATGCTTTAGTCAAATTATTCAAGATCCGTTCCTACGGATATCCCGTTCAGTTTTATAGTTGGACCAATCTTTTTAGTATTCATGCCTTTTGCATTTGATGGTTGCAAGTAGATAAAAAATTTAATCACAATAAAATCAATACTGTTTAAAAAATCTTTCAAGATTAATTAAAATGGTAAAGATGTCAGTCTATCTTTTTTGAATATTATAATTTAATTGCACCTGTGTCTTATAAATTTTATAAACGATTTATAAGTGTTTTGCATAAAGAATTTATTGCTTCGTCTGCGTCCGTCATGGAAGCATGTGTTATTAGTAAATAACAGATTAGTTAAAATTTTTATTCAATGCAAAATAATTATACTCGTGCGAATAATAAACTGTACGACGGTAAATATTCTTTATTTGACATAATCAGTGTATTTTAAAATATAGATTCTCTTAGTGATCGCCCATAAATTACGCAATGCTAAATTTCACTAATAAACAAAACTAAAAAGGTCAAAAGTTTTCCGTCGCAGATCTTTAAGTTAAATGAAAAATCAAAATAGCTCGTAAAGTTTAATCAAAATCGCAGCGTAAAAGAGCTTAACGTATCTTACTTTTTTTTTAAATATAAATTTAGCGTTGCGTAATATTTGGACGGTCTCTTAACATCAAATAGATATTTTTTAAATAAAATACTAACGAATTTTTTTAATGTTAATGTTTTAATGTAAATTTATAGAGTAATCCGAGGTCGGTTTAGAGGTCGGTTTAGAGGTCGAGTTTTAATTAAAACTGTTTAAATAAAATAGTCAGACTCCCGACAACTTCAAAAAGATAACTTATGCGTACAAAGCAAAAATAAAAATAACTTAAGAAAAAAAATTAAGCTGGTTTGCTACATTACAATAATGAATGGAATAAGTTAATAATGTGTGAAAATAGCTTCTTAGTCGCCGATATTTTGAGTCTATAATAACGATGCTTTTTTTAAACGCTATAAATTATTATATTGAATAAAAAATTTTGGGCTTTACCAATTTATTTATTTAAAAAAAAAATCGTCACACACACACGCTAAAAAAAAAAATCGTCTTTTCTTATTGTATTTATTTTCTAACATTGAAAGGAAACACATTGTTGTTTATGAATGTTCTAAATATCTATTTGTTTTACACCTTTTAGTTATGTTACTTTTTTTTTATCTGAAGAAATATTACTATATTTGTTCGATAGAAATCAATAGGCAAAGAAAGAAAAGTTATCTTCGTTTTTTAAAAAAGTAATTATTTTTTTAAAATAAGAGAGAAAATTGGCGCCTTCTTGTTTCATTTTCAATATAACGTTGTCATTATTATTCTTGGCAAATTTAACCACCGTCAAAATATTATTTATGTTATTCATCGTTTTTCAATATGTTATTGCTAAGCCTTCAGCTCATACTTAAACGTTATCATTTATAATTGATTACAGAACGTAAATGAAAATTTAAAATTTCACCTCTTGCTAATTCGATTTTATTGATAGATGGTATCGTTTGTAAGCAGGAAACCCTTAATATCTAAAGTAATACTAATTACTGTATCATTATGTTAAGTTTCATTAACTTTATGTTGTTGGATCTGTTTCTTTTATTTTCGCTATGTAAATACAATATGTTTATTTTTATCATTAAAACAACTTGATAAGTTATGTTATGTTTTATCATTCATTACGTTTTTTTTTTTCAACTGTGTTTGTTAGATTAACCACTTTAAAAAGTTGTTGTTGTAAAGGTTTTAAAAAAATTTGAAGAATTTCTCTCTCATTTTTATTGCGTTTAGATTGATTATTAAAGATGACTCAAATTTCGCCACGCGTAGATAACACTAAAAATTCAGATTGGTTTAAAAGCGCTGTTTTATTTTGGAAAAGTCAAGGTGATTCCGAGGATAGTTTTTCTGAACGTTGCAGGTCTCCACTTTCTCCTCGAATTTCTCCTCGAAAACAAATGCCTGTTATTACCGTTTCTAAACCTGAACGTGGAAAAACATTTTGTAAGAAGAATGAAACATTGAAAAGTAATAATATTTCATTTGATGAAAATGAACTTTTAAATCAGGTAAAAGAGCTTGAAGAGTTTCTATCTAATCAATCTTCAGATTATGAGCGATCTGATTGCCATTCTCCTCATTTGACTACGGAGTTTCCAGAAGGAAGCTTTATTAAAAGTAACCCACTCTTTGAGACCGAAAATAATATTGTAAATTTCACGGCGCAAAATAATGTAACACGAACGATGTCTAGTACAGAGTCCTATTCATCGCAAAAAAATTCCGATCAAAATGAAAATCAACGTAAAAAAGTTTGTCCTTGCCATAAAAACACTTGCATGAAAAGAAAAGAAACAAAATTAGAAAAGTTTTCGAAAGAAAAAGAATCTATTGAAAAATTATGTAGTTGTGGTATATTTGAAAACAACGTTTCGCAAACGGAACTTGGTTCATGTAGTGATGAAAGTTTAAGTTTGAAAAGAGGACTAAACGAAGCCAATACTTTTGACAATATTCAAAAAGTTCAAGATACTTTAGAGGAAATTTCACGTGAAATAATATCGAGTAAAGAAAAGATAAAGCAACATCGTGATCCGAACGAGATTATGTCGAAGTTGTTATCCACTATTAAGCCACCGAATGAATCAAAACCTAGCTATAAGTCTATTTCTCAGAATTTATCATATAAACCTCAGAACCTTATAGACAAATCTGCTGAAACGGAAGAAGACTTGCTCCAAAAAAGTGCTATTTTACTTCAACAGATAGACGAACTTGTAAAAGCTGAATCGGACCATGCATTTAATAAATCAGAAAAGTTTCAAGTTTGTTTAAATTCAAGAGAACGGTTAGATTCTGGTCTTCATAGTAAAACAAATTCCACCGTTAATTCTCCATACCAATCCCCTTCGTTCGGACGTTCTGAAAAATCTAGTAGTGAAAGAAGTCGTACGTCAACGCTAGAAGCTATAAGAAATAATTTAGAGAAAGCAAAATGTTTTACACCAGTAGATTTTGATACAGATTTTTCAGACAAAAGTCTGTCAGGGGGTAATTCAAATAATTATGAATTAGAGAAACACGGGCTAAGCGAATTTGAACCGGAACTTGTAGCTGTTAAAAAGTTTATACGTTTAACTGACGATCTCAAAGAAAGGAAATCGGAAAAAAGTTCGGAAAATGTAAGTATTATATTTATGCATTGTTCTTATTTAAATTTTTTAAGTTGAAGTTAAAGCAAACAGAGCGATTTTTTTTTCACAATATCATTCCTCGCCAATAGATACGTTAGAAATATACGTTAGAAAGTGATGTGTGGAGCAAGTTCGGAAAATATCATGAAATTTTTTGCAATAAAACTTATATAATTGAAATGTTTTACAAATATTAAAGTTCCAATGATTTTTAGAATGTTTCTAACAGATCAATGCGTGCAGAATGATATTTTAAAATCCAGAGTGCAGAATGATATTTTAAAACACCGGAGACGTCTTAAAGTTTAAAATATTTCCCTCTAATAAGATAAGTTCTGTCACAGTACTGTTATTTGTTGGGGGTGACGTTTTTTTTTTGATTGAATGTGTTATCGTTTTTTAGTTTTTTTTTTAACGAGGAACCGGGTAAAAAAGCGATTTGTTATTAATACAATTAGTATTTAATTTGTTAAAAACCTTAATTTTGATAAAATATTTTTTATTAAACAATTTAGTGTGCTTCTATACCTTCGTTACAAACCGCTATTGAACTGCATCGACGTGAACTTCAACAGCAGAGGGAAAAGCAAGAAGAGTTTCTGCAACAGCTTGGAGATTTGTTATTAGAAATAGTTAATCTCAAAGATGAGCAAATGGCGGTCCGTATGAAGCAAACAAAAGCATTGTCGCTAATGAAAAAACAACTTGATATCCATAAAAAAAATCAAACACAAGCGCACACCGACGTTTTGACTCAGGTTCAAAGCATTCATGAAAGACTCAATTCAAATGTAAATAAACAGCTTGATCATGATTCCAGTCAAGTTAGGGCTTATGCATTGCCGCCTCATTCGAATCATCAGCAAGTATATGGTGAAACAATATGGAAGGTTACTGATGTAATGAAAAAACTTCATCGTGCAAAATCTGGTTTAATTGATGGTACACTTGTAAGTTCTCCTTTTCACACAAGTCAATATGGATACAAAATGAACGGTTGGCTTTATTTAAATGGTCGTGGAAAATCTGCTGGCTCTTACTTATCTGTTTACGTTTGTGTACTTGTTGGTGAGTATGATGCTATACTTCCTTGGCCATTTAAACCATGCTATAAATTTACTTTAATTGATCAAAGAGCAGACATTCTTAAACGTAAAGACCACGTTAAAATTCGACGTGTAGTTGATATTGCTGGAAGGGATGCAAATATTATAACTCAATTTGGAGGCATACCTCGGCCTGTAAATAGCACTAAAGCTCTAATCGTAGGTTACGATGATTTCATTGCTCACGAACAACTATCATCAAGGTTTTTAGTTGATGATACTCTTTTTCTTAAAATAGAAGTTGAAGCAAATGGCAATTAAATTTCGTTATTCTGAAACGTCAAATGTTATAACGTCAAATATTAGAGCAAAATATAACGTCAGTCGTTCTTTTTCGAATAACAAATTCAAGCCTTGTTTCCTGAAATAGAAATTGAAGCAAATGGCAATTAAATTTCGTTATTCTGAAACGTCAAATATTAGAGCAGAATATAACGTCAGTCGTTCTTTTTCGAATAACAAATTCAAGCCCTGTTTCCTGAAATTAAAAAAGATCAATACTTTGTAAGCTTCAAATAAAATAGAAATAGAGTCAAGATTAGATTTGATCTCTGCTCTCAATATTAAGTTTTGTCTAAATTTATATCAAACTTTATATTTTGTTTTTTATTTATCCCTGATGTTTTTAAGATAGTTAAATTTGAAAAAGAGAAAAGAAAGATAAATAAATAAAAAATTTATGTTCTTGACAAAAAAAAATAAACATTTTTAATAGCAACAATAAGTAAACAAGTTTAATCAAATATGTAAATCTCCGGGATCTTTGTTCCCACCTTTAAGTGAGAGGAACGTATAGTAGTTATAAACTCAGTAGTAATAAACTCTTTTGTATGTAATTTAATTACACTTAGTCAGGGATGCGGATTTGGAGATCACAATTTTGGGGTTCCGCATTTCTGCACTTAATGAAATGCTAAATAATATGTTGGTTTCAAAATGTGTCTGTTAAATTCTATATATTAGTATTTTAATTATTTTCGCAACGTTATATCTAGGTTTATAAGTAATTAGATGACTGGCTTTTTATTAAAGGTTGCCTATATAGTACACAGGGAGTTTCCACTTCTGTCGAGTAGATCTTTTAAAAAGGTATAAGGAATTTTAATTACAATTAAAACATTACAAATTTAGAAATTTATTCTAAAAATAATCAAATATTAATTGTATTATTTATTTTTCAAATGGTTATAAATAACATCAAAAAAAAAAAAAGATTTTAAAAGTTAAAATTTAAAAGTTGTTTTTAAATTTGCATGTGTGAAAGAATTTTAAGCTTGTCAACCAACTTATAACTTCAATCAAATAAACGCGTTAGGTGGTTAGTGTAATAAAAACAAATAGGTTATCTTTTCATAATCAAATAAACACGTTAGGTGGATAGTGTAATAAAAACGAATAGGTTATCTTAAGGTTAACTTAATTCGATTACATTTTGTTTTACTATTTATATACCTTTTCATTATAAGCAAACATTGTCTTTGGCGTTATTGTATTTGGGTATAAAACCAACAAGAATACAATTATTTGTTTATTGATATAGATATATTAGCTTTCTCTCTTTATAAATATTACATCAAGAAGATACGAGTAATGACTACAGCTACAAACTACTAGCGTGCAACTATAAAACTATTTACAAATTCGCATGGCGATCACGTGACAATAAGAGTCACGCTCAAACTTATAATAGACGATAGACACTTGAACGTTATCGCAACAGTAATTATTACGAGTTCATTGCATAACTACAACAATTAATTTATTATAACTATATATAAGTTCGACAATAAATTATAACTAGTTATTATAGCACTTATTTTTAATATCAGTGTATATGTAGAACACAGGTGTAGTATGAGATTTTTTTTCTTAACTTAAAAATGTATTTTTTCATAAAATAGAACCTTTCATTTTGTGATTTAAACATTTTAGTGATTTTGGTTTCTTGAGAAGCAATAAAAAAAAGAGTCTATTTAATATAAATACTATTGAAACTTTTATAGTTTTAAATGCAGTTGCATATCTATTATTAAAAATTTAACAATCCATACTAGGGTTGTTCGCTGTAAAAAAAAACTGAGGAAAATTTCGCATTTTTATCTTTCGTATTTCAAATTGCTATTGCAGAAGTTGTACAAGCGCAAATTCACCTTCGGTAGCGTATTATACGAAAAAAAAAAATAACAATAACTCCGTAATAACCCTTTACGAAAAGAAACTTGCGAAACAAATCATTTCGAAAAAATACTTGCGAAATAGTTCCTTACTTAGCAAATTTTCGTTTCGGAATGTACTTTCGAAAAAAATCTGTTTCGGAATGTACTTATGGAAAAGACTTGAAAGCATTCATTAAACTGTTACACACACACACACACACACACACACACACACACACACACACACACACACACACACACACACGCATATATATATATATATATATATATATATATATATATATATATATATATATATATATATATATATATATATATATATATATATATATATATATATATATATATATATATATATATATATATATATATATATATATATTTATATATATATATTATATATATATATAAGTTTTTCAAAGATTTTGGAGCGTATAATGTATAATAGACTTTATTCTTTCTTAAATGTAAATAATATTCTTTACAATAAACAATTTGGGTTTAAAACCGGTCATTCGACCGATCACGCAATAATTAATCTTGTGCATAAAATTTTTAAAGCGTTTGATGAAAAAAAATGTCTTTATTGATCTGAGAAAAGCGTTTGATACCGTAGATCATAATATTCTTCTTTATAAACTTAAAAATTATGGTATCATAAATTCTAACTTAGGCTGGTTTAAGAGTTATTTAAAGAATAGGAAACAAAGCATTTTATATGATGGCGAGAAAACAAACTTGATGACAATTACCTGCGGAGTCCCCTAAGGATCAATTCTAGGACCGCTTTTATTTCTCATTTATATAAATAACTTGAGTAAATTTTCCAATATCTTAAATTCAATTTTATTTGCCGACGATACTAACGTATTTTATTCAAATAAAGATATTAATTTTTTATTTACAACAGTGAACGAGGAGCTTTTGAAACTAAGCGAATGGTTTATATCAAATAAATTGTCCATAAATATTAAAAAAACAAAATATACTTTCTTCCATCGTCTTCACGATAAAGACAACATACCCTTACAACATCCTAAGCTTTTTATTAATAACTCTTATGCCAAAAGAGAGAGTTCTTTGTTGTTTCTAGGCGTTGTTTTAGATGAAAACGTAACATGGAAGAAGCACATACGAATAATCCATAATAAAATCTCGAAAAATATAGGCTTTTTATACAAAGCAAAACAGTTGTTGAACCAAACTTGTTTGAAACTTATTTACTTTTCTTTTATTCATTGCTATCTAAATTACGCTAACGTTGCTTGGTGCAGCACTAATGTATCTAAAAATAAAGGGCTTTTAATTAAACAAAAACACGCTCCAAGAATTATTGTGAATCGCTTTTCGCACACTAAATTACTTTTTAATAAATTCAAAATACTTAATGTATTTCAACTTAAACTATATCAAATTTTTATATTTATGTTCAAAGTAGATAATAAAATGGCACCCATTTTATTTAATTCATTTTTCGAAAAAATAAATCATTTATACCCAACAAGATTTTCAAACAACAATTATATTCAACCAAAAAAATATTCTGCGACTAGGTTCTCGATAGCAATCAGAGGACCTAAATTATGGAACACCCTATTGGATAATGAGTTTAAAAAAATTTCTTCCCTTGATCAATTTAAAAAAAAAATAAAAAGTAAACTTTTGATAATTGACAATGAACTTGACTTCTTCTGAAACTTTTAAATAGGAGTAATCACTTGTTTTTTACTTGATATTTAATTTATTTTTAACATATTAATTTTTGATTTTAATTTGAATCTTTACCTTCTTAATTATCATGTTTTATCTCATTTTTATTTACTATTAAAATTTGAAATCCTAACAAAAAAAAAAAAAACTAAAAAAAAAATATTAAATTTTAATGAAAAATATTTAGATATTTGTATTTATATATGTACCTTACGCATATATTATATTGTGATAACGGATTTTTTTGGTTTTTTGTTTTGTTTGTTACTTATATTCTTGTTTAAAGGGGCTTGGCGATAAGACTGAATTTGTCTTCTTCTTGCCCCAGCCGTGTATATACAGTTTTTAAAGTCTAATTTTGTAAATATTTTCTTTATGGCGAAATATATATTATATATTATATATTATATATATATATATATATATATATATATATATATATATATATATATATATATATATATATAATATAATATATAATATATATATAGCATTGCGATCTCCTACGTAAAAACCGGGACAACCGTCACCCTAATGTATGTATATATACAGTGACCTAGTAAAGTTATGTCAGAGTTTATATATATCAAGTACCAACTTTCGGTTGTTTATTGCCTTTGGCTTAGCAGAAATAGAGGTTAACTATATATATTTTCATATATAAAAACATTGTAAAATATTTTGTTTCGTTACAAAGTTTAATTGAACTTCACGTCTAGTTGGTCGTTATCAGTTCTCACTGAATCATGCGATTAAATTATCACTACTTTTTAGACTAGCTATAACTTTAAAATTTTTAGCGATTGTGTAGTCCTGGTGAGCTTCTATGTTAAAATTGTTTCTAACGGCAAAAACTAGGGGTAAGGTTGCCTTTAAAATGTTTTTAATTTTCTTGTTGTTATTACGGTAGTAAAAGCGAAAGCTCATATAACAAAGCACCTCAAAAAAAAAAAGTGAAACTGACTGAACATAAAACCATTTTATTTAAAAACAATTGAGAGCTATTTTTAAGCATTTTAGGATAGTCCATAAAGTACGTGCGTTCGGATGGGGAGAGGGGATCTGCAAATGGCGTATATGAGATGGGGGCAGAAGGTCAATTATAATAGTAAGAAGACACTAAATTAAATGTTGGGTAGGTAGGTTAAAAGCGTAGGTACTTTTATGGAAATAGAGGTTGCTTAAAAAGTGTATAGCAAAACGCGGGAGGGGAAGGGGAGGGTCGAAATTAAAGCGCACGTACTTAATTGACAACCCCTATATAGTTATTTTTTAGTATTGATTACTTAAGTTAGGTCTTTTTTTGATTTCAACAAAGTTATTGTTTACCATTTACGCAATTGTATTCGTATAAAACCGTCTCTTTTTTCCCAATAACTCACCGACTCAGGGACCAATATAACTGCTCTCTTACAACTTTGGGTAAGTAATTAATATAAAGAAAAGAAAAGGGGAGAAACCTTTTTTTTAACCAACTCATTTATTGAAAGAGTCAGCCGTGGATTTACCTAAAGCCGACTAGGCCGCGGCCTAGGGCCCCGCAATATTTTGGGGCCCAAAATTTAAGTGAAAAATATTTAAATTTGGGGCCCAAAAAATATTTAATTTTGAAAAATATTTAATTTTGGGGCCCAAAATTTAAGTGAAAAATATTTAAATTTGCTAAGTAAATAATAAAGTTATAAAGTTAGTTCTTTAACATGTCTTT